GCGTCATGTCTACCCTGTGGGAGAGGACCGATCCAAAACCAAGTTCAAGACTGGCATCGAGTACATTTCCAAGCAGATGCTGCAGCGTGGTGATGTAAGTTGCAACACGATATCAACTGTTATTTCAATTATTGACATTTCAAACACAGGCCTTTCGCTCGCGCCGTCCGTGAGAACTTCCGCGACCACATCCGCCTGTCCATTCACCCTTTCCACCGGCGAGAACAAGATCTCCATCAGCCCTCTTCCCACCTCTTCCTACTACACCACTCCCTGGCACTGCTCGATCGCCTTCGACTGAGCGGCGCTATCCACTGGACCCCGCGCCGACTTCGAGAACGACCCCAAGTACGAGCTCGTCTACGAGGACGGAAGACCCAGCTACTTTCGCGAGAAGAGCGAACTGATGCAGTGGAAGTCGGATGTCGTCTTTGAGCCCATGTACCCCTGCGGTCTCCTCATCCGCCCGGCCCCGGCTCCAAGAAGCTCTCTATCCACGATGTTGAGCGCAAAAGGTTCGCGCCCTGTCCGAGGTCAACTCCCCCGTTGTCATGAGAGGTTTCACCAAGACCAAAGATCGCGAACTGTTCGTCAAGAAGTCGGAGGAGTTCGGCACCCCCTTGCCGTGGAAGTTTGGCCTCGTTCTGGAGGTGAAGGACCAGGGTGCCGATACCCGTGGTCTGAACAACGTTCTGTCAGCCGAGTGGATGCCATTCCACTTCGATGGGCTGTTCAAGACCCACAAAGTGCCCCAGGCAGACGGAACTGAGAAGCTTCTTCCCAACCCTCCCAAGTAAGTTGCATCCCCGCTGTGGCGAACCTGTCAAGCGAAAACCTTCGTGAGCTTCTTTCTCTAACACACCGAAAACAGGTTCCAGTTTTTCACCTCCATCACCCCTCACCGAGTGACACCGGCTTCACCCTTTTCACGCCCTCTAGACTCCTGTTCCAGAACCTGCCTCCTCACCTGTCCGTGGACAGACTGAGAGAGCTCACCTGGAGCGTCCAGACCAGCTCCTTCGACTCTACCAAGATGGGCGGCCTCCCTCTCGTCGTCGACCACCCCACAACCGGAGAGCCCTGCATCCGATACCACGAGCCTTGGCCCCAGTCGAAGACTGCCTTTGACGCCACCGACGTGGTCATCGAGGGCGTGAGAGAGAGCGAGAGCACCGAGATCTGCAACGTCATTGACTCGCTCCTCCACGACAGGAGAAACACCCTCTACTTCACCTGGCAGCAGGGCGATCTGCTGGTCAGCGATAACATCCTGGCCATGCACACCCGCAGTGACTTCACGGCTGGCTCTCCCAGAGAGATGTGGCGCATCCACTTTGATTAAGGAATGAAACGTGTGATCTTGGGACTGTTTTGATATGCAAGGAAAAGTTTGGAAAATTGGCATTAGTGGTGTTAGTTTAGGATTCCCTCTCTGTTCTGATTAAGCTCGGCATAGATACATTTTAGTCTGAAGCGATTGAATCGAATTTTATCTGATAAATTACAGAGAGTGTGTCAAGCACTGATCGCAGTGGTTGGATTAGATCCAGAGGCAAATTCGATTGCTGTATAATGCTACGTGGCGTGGTCTTAGTTTCATGTTACCACGGTACGGACGTGAACAACAGAGATAGATGATTGGTGATTATAAGAGGGGAAACATCAATCAGGTAAGTTGACTCTGATGCATAATTAGTATCTTAACCAAGACATCCTTAAAGCTTGACGATCTCGACTCAAAATCAAGCGCCGGGACTCGATCCTCTCGGAAAAGCTGTGAGGTGTGCGATGCTCCTCCGGGACTACATATTCGAAGTTACGATGATTATGCATCTCAGACGCTGATACGACGAGAAGAACTTTTCATTAGGTTGCATCATAATACCGGCCAAGAAACCAAGCATCACGTCTATTAAGTTATCGTCAGTAAGTTGATCACACCACTCAGCTGGCTATGCCGTCGTTACAAAGACGGAGAACCCCAGCCGTCCTCCTAGGCACCTCCGGCATGTGGGTATGTGTCAAACGTTTACTCTGGAGAACACTCGGAAATTTTAGGAGGACGCGTCCTCATATGGTGAAACATGCCGGTTCATGGGTGAGATGCATCATTGCGGATAGCTGTAGTCACCATAACTCACCTACATGAGTATGTTTGCTACTATTCGCTTGTGGATCCATGGTTGGCCAGGCTGTACACCGTACTACCGTAAACCCATAAAGTCTAGACTCTAGAGACTTTATCAAGCCCACTTTTCGTGCGCTCGAATAGAAAGTAGGCCAAGTCTAGCAGTGCGTAAGCATGTGTAAGGTTCGGAGAGTCAGCCGCCCAACGAGATATTGCTGGGGACGGGCCGTAAACCGCTGTCCGAAGCCAAGACACTAGGTTGCCGAAACCCCGGCCGCGGCAAAGGTTTTTTCTTCGACTCCGGAGCCACAAGATGCTTGCAGGTTGTGAATATGATAAGGTACGGAGTACAATGCTGCATGCAATGTGACGAGCCAGGGTTCAAAGCAGATGTTGGAGCCGGGGGCCTGCTACGCAAACATGCAAACCCGCAGCACAACCAACACCTGTTGCGCACCCCTGAGAAAACATTGACCAGGGAACAGGTGCCTCTTCGGGCTAGCAGTTGTGCGGATACCGAAGAAGCGTACGGATATAGGTGACGGATATGTTTTGTTCCTATCTATCGGCTGCAGGGTCGAAATGGAGCCGAAAGATTCCCAACGCCACACTCGAAGCCAGCTAAAGGTATCTTCGTGGCACAATCTTGATCAGCAGAGGTTCAGTGACCACGGCTGAAACCCATTCCTTTCTCTTGGGAAGTTGCACTGGCTGCCAGTCTGCATTATTCAGTCCTGTAACCTGCGCAGGTCTTTGACGTCCATTGGCAGGGCTGATTTCAAAGTTTGCGACCATCTTCGCGACACTCATGTACAATTCTAGGTATGAAAAGCTGAGTTTTCTTGTCAGTGACGGTATGCCCATTTGGCGCTATGGCACTTACTGATTTGCGATACAAGTGTTTGCGCCTTTAGAGAACGCAACGTAAAACTTGTCTCGTAGTATATCTTCTGTAGCGTTCAAGCCGGAATCATCTATCCAGCGGTAGGGATTGAACAACTCTGGATTCGGGTACGCATACTTGTCTCTGAGGTACCAGACCGGTGATGAAGTTACGATAGTCTGTGGAACACACCATTAGAGATGGCACTGAATCACTGAACGTGCCACTGTGATGGTGACTTACGCCTTCGGGAATAAAATTTCCACATAGCTCAACACCGCCCTTGGGAACTACACGGGGCAACATCGCCACGGACGCACCAGCCCAACGGATGCCTTCTTTGACACAAGCTTTTAAGCGAGGGATATTTTCCAAAGTATTAAAATCCGTGGGAAATCCGCGGGATGCTAGGTCTTGATACAACTTCTGCTGATAAGTCGGGTTCCAGGAAAGGGCATAGAGGATATGGGCGAGGGATGCAGAAGTGGTGTCGGTCCCAGGTCCCAGGTTCTCTTTGGCCTCTGATAGGGCAGTCTGCGTCGGCACGCCAGCTGAAACCATGACGTTGAGCAGATTCGGAAATTGCGACTTTCGGTCTGGATCTTTGTTTCGGACCCAAGCTTTGTACGTCCACTTCTCGAATTAGTACGCTAACAAGTTTCGTAGCTCCTGAACGAACCTCGTCGTATTGCTGTAGTCCATTTTTAGAGGATGTACGCGAGCCTTCCATATGACACAAGAAGTCTTCTACTCTCACCCAAATTGAGTACAGAAGCGGGAAGTTCATCATCTACATGGTCAGCTTTGTCTAGACTTCACATGTTCCCAGGCCCTTAGCACGTACCAGAGGCAAAAAGGCACTTCCCTCTCGCCTAATTTTTCTTGGCATCTGCTGTTAGTGAATGAGTGAGCCTACCACCAAATTACTAACAGCCGAAAACTCTTCACCTCCCCTTGCCGGAGCCCGCATCCGCGATGGCCTCACAGCCGCCGTCGGGCACCGGACTGATGTCGGCCGACCAAGCCGACCCCGAACCAGGCTCCGGGACACCTCCGGAGCCGAACCCCACCTCAAGAGCTAAGCGACGCCGCGACGCCGAGGCACAGCCGACCCGGCCCAGCCTAACGGGAAGCCAGCTTGATGCCACCACCGACGCCCCTACCTCGGCCGAGGGGCCCGCAGCCTCTACCGCATCTGCTCCGAGCGGATCTGCCACAGGGTCCGTCTTGACAGCCCTTGCAGAAGAAGCTAGACAGTACGAGGCACGGAAAGACGTCTTTCTGACCATTGCACGGTCCGTCGACAGCGTTGTCGCCAGCTTTGACGGTTCTAGAAAGCAGATCGCGAAAGAAGCCACTGCCTATGTCATTCAAACCCTCAAGAGACTGATCAATCACGAGACAAGCCCAATAGCGGCCCGGAGTTGGGCGGCTGTCGTCGCACCGATGGCGGGCAACACCACTGCGGCGACCCGGAGCGGCCAGAGCTGCCAGAGCTCTGCCCGCCCGAAGGCCACACTCCCCGCCGAGGATCAGCCGCAGGCGCAGCCGAAGGAGGACCTCCGCATCTTTGCCCGCGTCCCGGAAGAAAGCTTAGCGGCCGCTCGGAAGATCGCACCGTTCGCCGTACGACAGATCGTCTGTAAGGCCGTTGGCCTGGGGCTAGCGGACCTTCCCCACGTCTACCATATCAGCACAGGTTACTCTCTGAAGCCGCGAAACAAGCAAATACAGGAAAGACTACTTACAAGTAAGGCAAAGCTGGCGGAATGCCTCGGCGCCCACCAAGTCGAGACGCCTATCAAGTGGCACACATACGTTGTGCCGCGATGCCCAACAAAACTACACAGCATTGGCGGGGACGTCCTGGACCCAGCCACACTCGTTGAAGATGAGGTCTTCGCACAGACAGGACAGAAGCCTGTCCTTGCTCGACCGTCCCGCCTTGGGCCCAACCCAGTCACGAACGAAATATCTTGGCTCATATCATTCACATCAGAGGTCACGCCCTTCAGGCTCTTCAACCAAAGCGGCAGATCTCTGCCCATCAAAAAACGAAGGACGCTCATCCGACATGACCCCGGCTGCCAGGGCTACCACGCCAACCGGTTCTGCGGACGACGACCGACTTGCAGCAACTGCGGAAGACCTTCCGACTCACACGAAACGGGACCTTGCATGGCCAGGCCCCAGTGTCCCAACTGCTGCGGCCCCTTCCAAGCCGGCCACACAGACTGCCCAGCGAGGCCCTCGGTCGTAAACGGCGTCGTCTCCCTTCCCGGTCGAAAGGAGCGGGCTCGGATCCGGAAGGCCGGCCAGAAAGCATCGGACACTCTGTACAAGGCTACTCGATCCGACAGTAGCCAGGAGGCGGCAGGCGTCCCTACCTCCACCAGCCAGAACCAGCAACCCGGCGCCAAGCGCGCGCGCACGAGAACGCCCTCCGCAAGCTCGATCGTTTGCCTCGGTGACGGAAGCACTGACAGCAGCAGCATGGATGAAGACGAGGCGGACGAAGGCGAAGGCGAAGACTCCCCCGACAACACCTCCATCGACCGTCCCGTGCTACCCATGCCAAGCAGGAGCCAACGGGCAGCACAGAAGCCAAACTACAACGTCGCGAATGCCTACACCCACCTCGAACTCGACTCGGAGACGTAAGCCGAGAGCGGCGACCCCACGGATGCTACGCGTTGCGCAGGGCAACGTCGGAAAGATCTCCCCGGCGCACACGGCTTTCCTGCAGCTCTGCTGGGAGGCTCAGATAGATGTGGTCCTCGTCCAGGAACCCTGGACGGGCTGGAAGGACGGAAACGTGCAACTGAACACGCACCCGGGTTTCGACTCTTTCGTCCCGGTCGACTTCTGGGACAGCGAAGGAACCAGACCAAGAGTATTGACCTACACACGCAAAGGGATAGGGATGACGGTGGAGCAGCAGAGGCCTGTCCACACGAGAGACGTACTGTGGCTGGTGGTCGACAAAACGACGACTATCGTCAACGTGTACAGACAACCCGCGACAGCCGCACAACAGGATCTGCTGCTCCACCGTCATCCCTATCCCTTTGCGTGTGTAGGTCAATACTCTTGGTCTGGTTCCTTCGCTGTCCCAGAAGTCGACCGGGACGAAAGAGTCGAAACCCGGGTGCGTGTTCAGTTGCACGTTTCCGTCCTTCCAGCCCGTCCAGGGTTCCTGGACGAGGACCACATCTATCTGAGCCTCCCAGCAGAGCTGCAGGAAAGCCGTGTGCGCCGGGGAGATCTTTCCGACGTTGCCCTGCGCAACGCGTAGCATCCGTGGGGTCGCCGCTCTCGGCTTACGTCTCCGAGTCGAGTTCGAGGTGGGTGTAGGCATTCGCGACGTTGTAGTTTGGCTTCTGTGCTGCCCGTTGGCTCCTGCTTGGCATGGGTAGCACGGGACGGTCGATGGAGGTGTTGTCGGGGGAGTCTTCGCCTTCGCCTTCGTCCGCCTCGTCTTCATCCATGCTGCTGCTGTCAGTGCTTCCGTCACCGAGGCAAACGATCGAGCTTGCGGAGGGCGTTCTCGTGCGCGCGCGCTTGGCGCCGGGTTGCTGGTTCTGGCTGGTGGAGGTAGGGACGCCTGCCGCCTCCTGGCTACTGTCGGATCGAGTAGCCTTGTACAGAGTGTCCGATGCTTTCTGGCCGGCCTTCCGGATCCGAGCCCGCTCCTTTCGACCGGGAAGGGAGACGACGCCGTTTACGACCGAGGGCCTCGCTGGGCAGTCTGTGTGGCCGGCTTGGAAGGGGCCGCAGCAGTTGGGACACTGGGGCCTGGCCATGCAAGGTCCCGTTTCGTGTGAGTCGGAAGGTCTTCCGCAGTTGCTGCAAGTCGGTCGTCGTCCGCAGAACCGGTTGGCGTGGTAGCCCTGGCAGCCGGGGTCATGTCGGATGAGCGTCCTTCGTTTTTTGATGGGCAGAGATCTGCCGCTTTGGTTGAAGAGCCTGAAGGGCGTGACCTCTGATGTGAATGATATGAGCCAAGATATTTCGTTCGTGACTGGGTTGGGCCCAAGGCGGGACGGTCGAGCAAGGACAGGCTTCTGTCCTGTCTGTGCGAAGACCTCATCTTCAACGAGTGTGGCTGGGTCCAGGACGTCCCCGCCAATGCTGTGTAGTTTTGTTGGGCATCGCGGCACAACGTATGTGTGCCACTTGATAGGCGTCTCGACTTGGTGGGCGCCGAGGCATTCCGCCAGCTTTGCCTTACTTGTAAGTAGTCTTTCCTGTATTTGCTTGTTTCGCGGCTTCAGAGAGTAACCTGTGCTGATATGGTAGACGTGGGGAAGGTCCGCTAGCCCCAGGCCAACGGCCTTACAGACGATCTGTCGTACGGCGAACGGTGCGATCTTCCGAGCGGCCGCTAAGCTTTCTTCCGGGACGCGGGCAAAGATGCGGAGGTCCTCCTTCGGCTGCGCCTGCGGCTGATCCTCGGCGGGGAGTGTGGCCTTCGGGCGGGCAGAGCTCTGGCAGCTCTGGCCGCTCCGGGTCGCCGCAGTGGTGTTGCCCGCCATCGGTGCGACGACAGCCGCCCAACTCCGGGCCGCTATTGGGCTTGTCTCGTGATTGATCAGTCTCTTGAGGGTTTGAATGACATAGGCAGTGGCTTCTTTCGCGATCTGCTTTCTAGAACCGTCAAAGCTGGCGACAACGCTGTCGACGGACCGTGCAATGGTCAGAAAGACGTCTTTCCGTGCCTCGTACTGTCTAGCTTCTTCTGCAAGGGCTGTCAAGACGGACCCTGTGGCAGATCCGCTCGGAGCAGATGCGGTAGAGGCTGCGGGCCCCTCGGCCGAGGTAGGGGCGTCGGTGGTGGCATCAAGCTGGCTTCCCGTTAGGCTGGGCCGGGTCGGCTGTGCCTCGGCGTCGCGGCGTCGCTTAGCTCTTGAGGTGGGGTTCGGCTCCGGAGGTGTCCCGGAGCCTGGTTCGGGGTCGGCTTGGTCGGCCGACATCAGTCCGGTGCCCGACGGCGGCTGTGAGGCCATCGCGGATGCGGGCTCCGGCAAGGGGAGGTGAAGAGTTTTCGGCTGTTAGTAATTTGGTGGTAGGCTCACTCATTCACTAACAGCAGATGCCAAGAAAAATTAGGCGAGAGGGAAGTGCCTTTTTGCCTCTGGTACGTGCTAAGGGCCTGGGAACATGTGAAGTCTAGACAAAGCTGACCATGTAGATGATGAACTTCCCGCTTCTGTACTCAATTTGGGTGAGAGTAGAAGACTTCTTGTGTCATATGGAAGGCTCGCGTACATCCTCTAAAAATGGACTACAGCAATACGACGAGGTTCGTTCAGGAGCTACGAAACTTGTTAGCGTACTAATTCGAGAAGTGGACGTACAAAGCTTGGGTCCGAAACAAAGATCCAGACCGAAAGTCGCAATTTCCGAATCTGCTCAACGTCATGGTTTCAGCTGGCGTGCCGACGCAGACTGCCCTATCAGAGGCCAAAGAGAACCTGGGACCTGGGACCGACACCACTTCTGCATCCCTCGCCCATATCCTCTATGCCCTTTCCTGGAACCCGACTTATCAGCAGAAGTTGTATCAAGACCTAGCATCCCGCGGATTTCCCACGGATTTTAATACTTTGGAAAATATCCCTCGCTTAAAAGCTTGTGTCAAAGAAGGCATCCGTTGGGCTGGTGCGTCCGTGGCGATGTTGCCCCGTGTAGTTCCCAAGGGCGGTGTTGAGCTATGTGGAAATTTTATTCCCGAAGGCGTAAGTCACCATCACAGTGGCACGTTCAGTGATTCAGTGCCATCTCTAATGGTGTGTTCCACAGACTATCGTAACTTCATCACCGGTCTGGTACCTCAGAGACAAGTATGCGTACCCGAATCCAGAGTTGTTCAATCCCTACCGCTGGATAGATGATTCCGGCTTGAACGCTACAGAAGATATACTACGAGACAAGTTTTACGTTGCGTTCTCTAAAGGCGCAAACACTTGTATCGCAAATCAGTAAGTGCCATAGCGCCAAATGGGCATACCGTCACTGACAAGAAAACTCAGCTTTTCATACCTAGAATTGTACATGAGTGTCGCGAAGATGGTCGCAAACTTTGAAATCAGCCCTGCCAATGGACGTCAAAGACCTGCGCAGGTTACAGGACTGAATAATGCAGACTGGCAGCCAGTGCAACTTCCCAAGAGAAAGGAATGGGTTTCAGCCGTGGTCACTGAACCTCTGCTGATCAAGATTGTGCCACGAAGATACCTTTAGCTGGCTTCGAGTGTGGCGTTGGGAATCTTTCGGCTCCATTTCGACCCTGCAGCCGATAGATAGGAACAAAACATATCCGTCACCTATATCCGTACGCTTCTTCGGTATCCGCACAACTGCTAGCCCGAAGAGGCACCTGTTCCCTGGTCAATGTTTTCTCAGGGGTGCGCAACAGGTGTTGGTTGTGCTGCGGGTTTGCATGTTTGCGTAGCAGGCCCCCGGCTCCAACATCTGCTTTGAACCCTGGCTCGTCACATTGCATGCAGCATTGTACTCCGTACCTTATCATATTCACAACCTGCAAGCATCTTGTGGCTCCGGAGTCGAAGAAAAAACCTTTGCCGCGGCCGGGGTTTCGGCAACCTAGTGTCTTGGCTTCGGACAGCGGTTTACGGCCCGTCCCCAGCAATATCTCGTTGGGCGGCTGACTCTCCGAACCTTACACATGCTTACGCACTGCTAGACTTGGCCTACTTTCTATTCGAGCGCACGAAAAGTGGGCTTGATAAAGTCTCTAGAGTCTAGACTTTATGGGTTTACGGTAGTACGGTGTACAGCCTGGCCAACCATGGATCCACAAGCGAATAGTAGCAAACATACTCATGTAGGTGAGTTATGGTGACTACAGCTATCCGCAATGATGCATCTCACCCATGAACCGGCATGTTTCACCATATGAGGACGCGTCCTCCTAAAATTTCCGAGTGTTCTCCAGAGTAAACGTTTGACACATACCCACATGCCGGAGGTGCCTAGGAGGACGGCTGGGGTTCTCCGTCTTTGTAACGACGGCATAGCCAGCTGAGTGGTGTGATCAACTTACTGACGATAACTTAATAGACGTGATGCTTGGTTTCTTGGCCGGTATTATGATGCAACCTAATGAAAAGTTCTTCTCGTCGTATCAGCGTCTGAGATGCATAATCATCGTAACTTCGAATATGTAGTCCCGGAGGAGCATCGCACACCTCACAGCTTTTCCGAGAGGATCGAGTCCCGGCGCTTGATTTTGAGTCGAGATCGTCAAGCTTTAAGGATGTCTTGGTTAAGATACTAATTATGCATCAGAGTCAACTTACCTGATTGATGTTTCCCCTCTTATAATCACCAATCATCTATCTCTGTTGTTCACGTCCGTACCGTGGTAACATGAAACTAAGACCACGCCACGTAGCATTATACAGCAATCGAATTTGCCTCTGGATCTAATCCAACCACTGCGATCAGTGCTTGACACACTCTCTGTAATTTATCAGATAAAATTCGATTCAATCGCTTCAGACTAAAATGTATCTATGCCGAGCTTAATCAGAACAGAGAGGGAATCCTAAACTAACACCACTAATGCCAATTTTCCAAACTTTTCCTTGCATATCAAAACAGTCCCAAGATCACACGTTTCATTCCTTAATCAAAGTGGATGCGCCACATCTCTCTGGGAGAGCCAGCCGTGAAGTCACTGCGGGTGTGCATGGCCAGGATGTTATCGCTGACCAGCAGATCGCCCTGCTGCCAGGTGAAGTAGAGGGTGTTTCTCCTGTCGTGGAGGAGCGAGTCAATGACGTTGCAGATCTCGGTGCTCTCGCTCTCTCTCACGCCCTCGATGACCACGTCGGTGGCGTCAAAGGCAGTCTTCGACTGGGGCCAAGGCTCGTGGTATCGGATGCAGGGCTCTCCGGTTGTGGGGTGGTCGACGACGAGAGGGAGGCCGCCCATCTTGGTAGAGTCGAAGGAGCTGGTCTGGACGCTCCAGGTGAGCTCTCTCAGTCTGTCCACGGACAGGTGAGGAGGCAGGTTCTGGAACAGGAGTCTAGAGGGCGTGAAAAGGGTGAAGCCGGTGTCACTCGGTGAGGGGGTGATGGAGGTGAAAAACTGGAACCTGTTTTCGGTGTGTTAGAGAAAGAAGCTCACGAAGGTTTTCGCTTGACAGGTTCGCCACAGCGGGGATGCAACTTACTTGGGAGGGTTGGGAAGAAGCTTCTCAGTTCCGTCTGCCTGGGGCACTTTGTGGGTCTTGAACAGCCCATCGAAGTGGAATGGCATCCACTCGGCTGACAGAACGTTGTTCAGACCACGGGTATCGGCACCCTGGTCCTTCACCTCCAGAACGAGGCCAAACTTCCACGGCAAGGGGGTGCCGAACTCCTCCGACTTCTTGACGAACAGTTCGCGATCTTTGGTCTTGGTGAAACCTCTCATGACAACGGGGGAGTTGACCTCGGACAGGGCGCGAACCTTTTGCGCCTCAACATCGTGGATAGAGAGCTTCTTGGAGCCGGGGGCCGGGCGGATGAGGAGACCGCAGGGGTACATGGGCTCAAAGACGACATCCGACTTCCACTGCATCAGTTCGCTCTTCTCGCGAAAGTAGCTGGGTCTTCCGTCCTCGTAGACGAGCTCGTACTTGGGGTCGTTCTCGAAGTCGGCGCGGGGTCCAGTGGTGATAGCGCCGCTCAGGTCGAAGGCGATCGAGCAGTGCCAGGGAGTGGTGTAGTAGGAAGAGGTGGGAAGAGGGCTGATGGAGATCTTGTTCTCGCCGGTGGAAGGGTGAATGGACAGGCGGATGTGGTCGCGGAAGTTCTCACGGACGGCGCGAGCGAAGGCCTGTGTTTGAAATGTCAATAATTGAAATAACAGTTGATATCGTGTTGCAACTTACATCACCACGCTGCAGCATCTGCTTGGAAATGTACTCGATGCCAGTCTTGAACTTGGTTTTGGATCGGTCCTCTCCCACAGGGTAGACATGACGCAAATCAGTCTCAAGGAACTTGATGTATCCGCGATATGTCAGGCAGGTATCTTCGTTCTTGGAGATCTCGGTTGAGGGGTCGTAGTCAGATCGGCCAAAGGTGTTGAGAAGGGCGCGGCGGAAGTTGGTAGCGTTCGCAACATATGTGATCTCCTCAAGCTTGTTAGGGAGGTTGGGAAGGTGAACAAGGTCCTGAAGGCGCGAGAAGTCGATGTTGAGCAGGTTCTTCTCGGCAGCAATGTCGCGGAGGGTCTCTCCATATGACCAGACCTCCTTGTCGGGAACACCGAGCAGGTCGTTGTACACAAGACCGTCAGAAATAATGGTCAACTTCGCGCCGGGCTCGTAGATGTCCTTGATCGCTAAGCAGAGACCGTTGAGGTTGGCGAGAGAAAACTCCTCAGCCTTATCCGGCAGACGGCTGAGGACCTTGTCTTTTGTGTTGGGCGACTTGAAGGGGAAAGCAGGAAGGCACATGCGAATCGGGCTCTGTGTCTTGACTTTTCTGTAGATCTGGGAGAGGAAGCCCAGTCTGCCCTCAAGCTGAGCAGGGCATGTTTCGTGCGGGCGTCTAAGGCGGTAGCGGCAGATGATGTCGAGAATGTCGGCGGCTTTTGAGAGGGCTTCGTCGTCCATCATCTGAGGTGCCACCTTTGAGATGAGCTGGACCTCTGGTGACGGTTGGCGAACCGGTGTTTCTACAAGAGAAGGCATGTCGTTGAATGTGGCTGAAGTAGAGGCGAAGAGGGCTGAAAAGGGATGAAGAGGTAAGGGCAAGGGAGGCTTGAATAGCAAGATAAACGACGATCAAAGTAAGTTTAAGGCTGGCAGATGCAGCTGGGTCTTAATGCAATTTGAGCCTGGTCTAGTAGAGAAAAACCTTCCAAAGTCTCGGGAGACGCAACCGGCTTATATCCAGCTTCCTTTCGTAGCATAGCCTGCCAACGTTGCATCTGCATACAGACTTGCTCGGAGATGACGATCACAGGGAAAGGGTCATGGCAAGGAGCAGCGGGCCAAGTCGCGGCACTGGCCGTGATGGGCTCGGAGCTGCGTCAGGTCACATCTGGCCATCCCCCATATCAAGGCCCATAACGGTCTTATTCCGGTCCTCTTCATCCACAATTCCCGTGGTTGTTCGATACTCAATGTCGCCACTAGGGGTCAATAGCAAAACGTCTAGAAGGAGGGTAAGATGGTAAGGATTTGCCCACGGAATCAATATGCACCCGGCATCCTGGCCCTGTCAACGGATGTCATACCACGCATGACCTACTTTTCTTTTTTTTTTTTTTTTTTTTTTCGTACTCTATACTCTTGATTGTTTTTCCTAGTCTTCGTCCGGCTTCCATCGTCGATCGAGTCAGTGCCGCCACCCCACTACCCAGGAACGGCCCCATCAGGATCAGGAAACTCATGCGCTCCATCGGACATGGACCAAGTTTGAAGGGCTGACAGCTAAACGACCCACGTCACGGTGGACACCTGCCTGACATAGCCGGCTGAAGACTCGAAGGAGGAATCAAGTGTGTGGCCACTGGCCAGTGCAAGATCTAAGTTGCAGCCGCGCGGGAGTCGTCTGGGAGGCGTACCAGTGTGGGGAGGGAACCACTTGAGCGAAAACAGACAAAGAATCGAGCCACCAACGTCAGGCTAGGCTATTGACAGTCTGGTTCATCCCAGGTTAAGCCGCGGCAGATGGATGGCTGAACCGTTGAACATAGTCGTAGACCCCGACTAGTAGGGGGCCAGATTCCGCACCGGCAGGATCCTCCCGCGGCTGTGGGGACAGGGGAGCCCCGAGGAGAGCAAAAGCGCGCCTTTCCCGATCGGCTTTCTGGACCGTGACACGATGTCCGGGATGGCATGGCGAAAGATTGTGAGTGCCACGGCGCAGATTCCTCACTTGGGCAGGTCTAGCCAGATAGCCGGGATTGCAGCTGCATTGCTACATTGGCATGTCGTGGCATGTCACATTAAGATCGTCGGAACAACATTCAGGTTTGTAAGGTCGATTGCTCTTTGCGGAGTGCATCCACAGTCGTGTGTGGTCGATGCGTAGCATTCGATTCCAGGTCAGGAAGAACCCCGGCGCGCTCCGATATCAGACGATTATCCGCGGTATTGCTTCGAGCATCGGTCACACCGGAGGGGGCTCGGCTCAAGGCACGGCGCACCCTTCGGCCGTCGACCGTAAGTAGTCCCGGACTTGGCCTTGGTCCCTTGATGTCAGATATCAAGTAAGCCACCCATCGAACAATATCTGCTGGTTCCGCGTAAGACGATACCTTTGCCCCTGATCCGATCGATTTAGTAATCGGTAGTCGTTCGACGTGCATTT